CGAGCCGCGCACCGACCCCACCAATCTCCAGCTACAGCCTGGCAGGACCACCACGGCCCCTCACCTTCTCAACGCTTCCCTGCCCGCTGCATCCCCTCTGGCAAACTTCTCCGCTGCCAGAGCGGAAGACTTCCTGCTGCTGCCAGGTACCTGCTCGGGGCCTTGCAGCATCACCAACGTCTCACAGCCGGTCTGTGCCGACCCAGCAGAGAGGCCACAACGCAAAGGATAGCCCGACAAGAGCAATTTGTTTGTCATGGGCACAAGGTGGCCCCTTCCAGTTGGGGCACCCCAAGGCGCTTTGACAACTTGCTACTTAGACCTTGCCAGTGGTCAGGTACAACAGGATTTGACCCCTCCCTCGGGGCTCAACCCACGCGCGGACATGCACACACGCGTATGGCTGTTCACAATGTCAGAAAGTAGTTGCTGGTGTCTGAGGATTTTGAACATACTTCTTGGAACCTCATGCACAGATTTTTTTCTAATGTATGAGGGCTGTGAAGGCGTGTGGGAACATCTATATTAACCTCTTTTCCTTGTACTGTTAACAAATATATTTCTATAAATTACAGCGGAATATTGTAAATTAGTTTCTTTTCATTCTGGGTCCTTGCTTCCTCCTTTAAATCCTTGATCCTTCTCATGCTCTGTGCTTCAGCTGACTGCCTTGGAGGTATTGCCTGAGGAGTCATGGGAGTGTGGGCTTGGATGCACCTTTGGATCTCAATGCAGCATCTGGAGTTGCAGCCATCGTGGCATTGTAAATCCCGTTCCAAAGCATGGCTGCCTGCAGTGTAGCACGTTTACCAGAGCAACTGCCAGCTAGAAGGCACCACAGCCCACTCCCTTGTCCCCATCAGCTGTGAGTAATAGTCTGTTCAGCCACCATGAATCACACATTCGGGGTCATGAGGCATGACCCAGGATCCCTTGTCACTCGGTCTTTTCCTAAGGTTGAACTTCAGTCTGACTGACTAAGCACGTTAGGGACTGTTGAGACTCTCATTTCAGAAATCCTGCCGTGTCCTGTACTGTTAAAGACCTGGCTGCTGGGGTTGGGATGTCTCAGCACAGCAGCTACTGAGTCTGATACATGTGATAACCAGCTATCAGGCAGGCTGCTGAGCTGTGCAAGTAGAGACACATCAGCGTAACCGCTTCTACAGGGCAAGGGTTGCTTTTTGTCTCTCCAATAGTATAATTTTCAATGGACATCTACTTTCTTTTCAATTAATGATTTTTGGACACGTACATTAGTATTTTTGGCAATGCCAGATTTAATATTCTTATTTGTCTCCTTCATGCTACAAATACCATTTGAACTTGGCACCAAAACCTGTTAGCACTGTTAAATTCATAATGAAGTCCAAAGCACTGAAAGATCTAAAAGTCCTTTAACAAATGCTAGCGTGAAAGAAACATAACAAGACAGAAATGTAACTAGTATTACCCACAAAAATGCATAAATAATTTGTGAAAGATCTTAAAACAAATACACAACCAGTATAAATGTCTTCCTCAAGATCACAAACGGAGAGGGACTTTGTACTAGTGACTGAGAGAATCAGGAAATATATTCCAGTTCTGGCTTAGGCTGCTAGTTGTAGGCCACCATCAGAACAAAAGTGTATATTTAATATTTCAAATGAGAGGTAAGATTAAAGCAAATTCTTACATTAAAAAATAGTAAACCCCATATACATTACAATACAGAGCTAATGACAGTAGCAAATGAAATGTAGTAAGCATTCTTATTTGAACAGTATCTATTAAAAAAATGTTCATACCAACATGCATGTAGAACTTGCACTCCTGTTGCAATCTACCAGAACCATTCATTGATATTAAAAGTATTTCAAACCATTTTCATGTTCTTGCATAATTCTTCCCCCACATGGATTTAATACAACGTTTTTGTTTTAATTTAGATTATTCCAAACTGCAGGATAATGCTAGTATTCGTTGACATAGCTGAAATACTATCCACTTACCCAACGATGAGGTAACATGAATCATGCACAAAATAAGAGAGTTTAGAGGTTTTTAAGCTTCATTTGATGCCAATAGAATTTTTATCATTGTCCTGTTTTTTGGCTGGGATAGAGTTAATTTTCACAAGAAGCTGGAAGGGGGCACAGCCAGGACAGCTGACCCAAACTAGCTAAAGGGGTATTCCATACCATATGACCTCATGCTCAGTATATAAGGGGAGGAGCTGGCAGGGGGGAGGGATCGCTGCTCTGGGACAGGCTGGGCATCGAGCTCTGGGTGATGAGCAAATTGCATTTTGTAGCACCTGCTTTGTATAGTCTTCTGTTTGTTATTGTCCTCTTCCTTTGCTGTCCCAGTAAACTGTCCTTATCCCAATCCATGAGTTTTACTTCGTTCTTCTGATTCTGCTCCCCATCTCAACGGGGGGACAAGGAGTAAGTAAGTGAACGGCCACATGATGCTCAGCTGTCATCTGGGGCTAAACCATGACAATCGTGTATCTTTTTAGCAACGTACATCAGTTCTGGCATAAACTACTGCTTTATGCATATTCATTTATTGTACTTATCGCTGCTTTTTAACAGATTATTCATTTTAGCAGTAGATATCTTGGAGAGTTTGCTGACTAAAAAACCAAAATACACATACGTGTACACAGATACCCTTCCCCCTCTCATATATATGTATGAATGTGTCTTACAAAAATTAATTATTACTGAACAAAAATATATATAGCTTATACTGGATCTACCGGGAGAAAATATATCTGCTTTGATAGTCTGCAAAAGGTGCTGTAATTCCAGAGGTACAGATCCACAGCGAAGAATGCCCAGCTGGCAGCTCTCCCCGGCTGGTCCGTTGTGCTGTGGCACAGCCCCAAAGGGCAGCTTCCCAAATCATCAGGTTGCAGATTGTTCACGGTAAGACAGTGATGTAATCGCTTTCATAAACTTCTGTAAAGAAATCAATAAAAAAACCCAAACAGATTTTTTCATTGCAAATGGCTTCTCTGAAAGCCCATGGTGAGCAGGATGGCCTGTGGCTGTGTTGCTGGGCAGGTGTCAATAACTCAATTTTTTTTTTCTCGGTATTGTCTCTGCTATTTCAGGGCCAATGTTAGGCCCCGTGTCCTATGGACCGGTCTTCCCGGAGCCCATACGGAGGCAAAGCCTGCACTGTCTTTTCTGAGCCAGCAAGCTCTGTTATTGAACAGCTGTTATCCACATGAGACCCCTTCTTCCTGAGGAAGAGTCAAATGCCAGAAGTCATCCATACTTAGTAAATCAGATCAATAGCTGAGATGATAGCTATGACTATAGCATAACAAACCCTTTCTTCTCTAAATAAATACCCAACAGAAAAACTCTCCTCCCAACTAAGGGAGGAGAGCCTGAAAACAAAAGAGCCTGAAAAAGTTCTTTCTCTCTTAGACCTTGTTAGATTTATCATGTGTTTTGAGAAGATAGCAGAAAGGCAGAAATTGAATGCTTAGGACTCCATCTCCACTATGGAAAACTACTGTCTCTTCGAGCAGCCACCCTCAGACAAGCTGTTCTGGGCTAGAAAACAATGCTCAAAAATATCCAGCAACCAGTATCGTGACCCCAGTCCCATTAATTGTTCCACTGGTCACCCTGGAGTGCTCAGTCCCACACGTGCCGCAAAGCCAGCTGCCAGTGCAACATGAGGGACTGGGCTGGAAAAAAAAGGTGCTTGCTTTAGGGAGCACTGTGGTGTTTTATGTGATGCCTGCATTTCAGAGACATAGCCATCATGACATTAACTTAAACCCCCGCTGTAAGCACGTAACAAAGCATGTCTGAGGGGGAAGTTTGGACTGCTGTATAAGTGAAATTTAAATTAAAATTGAACAGCAACGATTCCAAACTGATTTAATTATTTCTAAAAGCCTCCATTTTGATGAAAGCCACAAACATTTTGATAGTGAAGTGAAAGGGTTTGTTTTCCTCCCTGTGAGTCCACACCAAGTGAATTGTACAACTTCTAGAAAAGTCCATGTTGCAGGACAAGACAATAAAATATGTATTATATCTGATTTTTCCTAAAAGTATATCCATGCTACTGCAGTATTTTCCATCTCCCTGGAGCGGCAATGACAAGATACCATAAAACCCCTTTTTAGAGCAAATGTGGCACATCTGCCTTAGTGATACTAGTGATAATGTAATGTTTGGGACACCAGAAATGTCTCTTTGCTACTGTTTCTGCCAGCAAGATTGTTGCTGCAATGGCCCCTAAAAACGCAGCTTAAGTGCATGAAGTGGTGGGGAGACCTCACCCCTTCCTGTCCTGTCTGCTTGATGCAGGGAGCTGTTGCGCTGCTGTTCTCTGCAAAAAACCAGCATCTGATGTACAGACAGGAGGTATGACTGCAGCACAGAGGCTGGCCTGCATGACTGCATTTTAGCTAGCGTTACTCGTGAGATACAAATCACACAGGAGATTGGATACTCCAAGAATTTTTCCTTTTCAATAACTGTACTTAATGAAAGGATTGCCCTTGCTCGTTACGCTTAGTCTTCTAGTCAGAGGGTCAAGGTTATTTTGCAGCCTGTGACCTGATGGATACTGCAGCTGAGCATCGTACAGCAGTGATACAAAAAGTGGCTTTCAAAAGCATGTGAGGGATGCTGGCAAGGTACCAGTTGTATCTCTATTCATCCTCCCCAAAACACAGACATAAAGATGACACAGAACTATGAAACATGCTCTACCACTTTGTGAAAACCTCCATCTTTACTGTATCCATTTGCATCATATTTCTGTCAGGTAGGGACGTTGTATCCTTATCTTATACCTGGAACTTGTGAGCATAAATTAGCAGATCATCAACCAGAGTCTGAACCCTGGTTCCAAAGCTGTGATCCTGAGCACAAGGCTATATGCTTCTTATTTTCAACATACTAACTTAAAATAGGCATGTTTTAACACAAATTACAACAAGCCATGAGTTGGCTAGCTTTTTTTTCTCCTTTTTTTTTTTTTTTTTTTTTTTTCCCCTCTAGCATCTCAAAAATAACTGAGATTTTGGTACAAAAATAGCTTTCAACCTGGCCAACAGAGGTAAAGGACAGCCTCAACTCCCAGTGAAGTGCAGGAGTCTGGCAGCTTGGCAGAACCACGTTGGGTAAAACTGGTCCTCAGCCTTCCCTAGCCTAGAAGCATCAACACTCATGAAGGAGTGAGCTGTGGGCAACATCATGCTTTCCCTTCTGTACCTCTTTCAATTTTAACTTGTTAATTTGTGGTGGATGGAGGTGTGTAACCTGTGAGCTAGAATTTTTCCAGTGAACATAAGAGAGAAGGAAGAACATTGAACTTCTGTCCATGCAAGTTGGTCTCAGAGGACACATAGCAACTATTCACCACAAACCTTTCAATGCAGTCGTCTCTAGAAAACCACAAAGAAAGAGCTAAATTTCTCACCATCATAAACGTCATCCTTTCCTGACTTGAACCTCTGGCTTCTTTGTGAGGCCTTTGGTTTCTTTACTGGGTAGCGAAGGTTTGTAATTAGTCCTTGATTTGGCTTTTCATAATTGTATATTAGGTCCTTTAACGTTCCGAATATCCTCTGGGGAACACCTTCAGAAGTCTGCAAGAAAAGGAAAATAAAGCTTGTTTGCAATTGCCTTTCACGTAGAGTTCCCTAAGTGAGAGGAAGGATACCTACTTTCTTGTTTACTGAGGATTTGGTGACAGAATGTTGTACTGTCCTTAAAACACGTTTGGTGGCATGGCTATGGCACTAACCTCCCTTACCATCTTTTTTTATTTGAAAAAAGAACACAAGTTTAGGGACAACGTATTTAGTTCTCACTTAAAATGTTGGATTTAAGCAAGTATGTGACAAGCAGAAGCCATACGTTTTACAAAATCAGCAAAGGACACCTGCAGAGGCAGCGGACACGTCTGAGGATCCATATGAACGTCCCTGGCACCACCTTTCACTTTTAGGCAGAAGTTTATTATTTCTCTCAGGTTTGTAACTTGTGTTGGAGACTCCTGAGGCCAAGCAGGGACCACGGCACACCTAAGCGGGGGAACAGCGTTCTCACAAGCTGCTTTTTAACGTGTGGGTTCGCACAGCCGGACTGAACTGCTTCCATGGCACAGCCCCTGGTGATCGGTACAGAGACTGTGCAACGCCGGTGACAGACAGTAAGCACATTAATCGGCTCTAATCACAGCGAGGGTTCTACTACTAGTCATCAAAAGTGAATGGGGCTTTGGTTTTGCTTTATTTGCCATCTAACAGAGAAACATGTCTTTATTTTATTTGTTTTTCTGCATCCTTTATCTTCCCTTCAGCCATGTCTGGACTGAGTGCTACTGCCTCTTTGTACTGGATCTGGCTGGGATGGAGTTAACTTTCTTCGTAGCAGCCTGTACAGTGCTATAATTTGAATTTGTGACTGTAACAGCGTTGATAACACACCCGTGTTTTGGCTGTTGCTGAACAGTGCTCACACAGCCCTTTTAGGTTGTCTCTTTTTCCCGCTCTGCTTCCCCGGTGAGGAGGCTGGGGGTGCGCAAGATGCTGGAGGGGACACGGCCAGGAAAGCGGACCTGAATTGACCAAAGGGATATCCCATCCCATATGACATTGTGCTCGGCAATAAAAGCTTGGGGAAAGGGGGGACATTCTTGGTTACAGCATTTGTCTTCCCAAGTAACCATAACGTGTGCTGAGGCTCCGCTTTCCAGGAGGTGGCTAAGCATTTGCCTCCCTATGGAAAGTAGCGGCTAAACTCCTTCTTTGCTTTGCTTGCATGCACAACTTTGCTTCATCTGTTAAACTGCCTTTTATCACGTGTGCTGAGGCTCCGCTTTCCAGGAGGTGGCTAAGCGTTTGCCTCCCTATGGAAAGTAGCGGCTAAACTCCTTTGCTTTGCTTGCGTGCACAACTTTGCTTCATCTATTAAACTACCTTTTATCTTCATCCAGGAGTTTCCTTACTTTTGCTCTTTCTGTTCTCTTCCCCCACCTTGTCCTGCTAAGGAGGGGAGTGACCAAGCAGCTGTGTGGGTGCTTAGCTGTTGGCCGGCGTCAGCCTACTCCACTCTAGAAAGTTCATGGCTGAATCTGGCCCTTAAAAAACCCCAATCAATCTCCCCTCCACCATTAATATATTATTTCAGCCTATTATTTTTAGAAGCCAAAACAATTTGACTTAAAAAATTGAACAACTGAACTGTCCTGTCACATTCTTGGCAAAACCTTGTAAGAAAAAATTGATTTGAAAAAACTAAAAGTGTTTGAGTTGTTATCTGCTGATAGACACGACAGCAAAGCCCAGCAGAGTGGCTATAGTACAAAATAGATTACTTTTGTCAACAAACCATTCTTCTTCATGGCAAATTGTCTTTCGTACTCAATCCAAACCACTAATAAGCAAGAAATTACCAGCGTGTGTCCTTTACGGAGCGAGTTCCTCATTCCACGGAACTGCCACTTAATTGTTGGCAGTCCTGTTGGCTGTCCTACTACAAGCAGAGGAGTGAGCCAGCTTTTTAAGTGTCCTCTCACCCTGCCTAGGGATTTGATTGATGCAGTCTGCTCTTACAGTTATTCAAGCAATGAGCAGCATTATCTGGGGTCATCACTTCAGGTGCCTCAGAATCGCACAGAATTATAGATAGGTCTCTCTGAATCAAAAATGTCATTGCAACATTCCAAATCCCTACAAGATGCTGGGTGTGATGGCAGAGCTTTCAAGTAGAAAAAGCTTATTAGGAACAGGAGCAAATAATGACAGTGATAGATTTTTCTTCAACGCCATCAAAAAGAAATGGTCAAATCAGAAAGCAGCTAGTCCACAAATAACAGATCCGCTTAGGTTATAAGGGAATTCTACAAAGATAATAGCTACTTCTGAGTTCATATGTAATAATAAGTATAATATTAAAAAAGTCAAGAATTGAGAAGAGAAGAAAACAAACTTGGAAATATTTTCTAAGATAATGTGTTCATGTATATTAATTTTTTAAATCAAGACGATAATCTTTAGTGCAATCTTTACAGATGAAATAGAGTTACTCACCTGTATTCTAAAATATCCGCTGCGTTCCCTGAAGATACGATAAGTGTAGATGATTTCTTCAAAGCTGTGAAAAACATTATTGTATACATTATTCTTTTTATCAACTGCTTGACCACTGCAACTTGCTTAGACTGCTACAGCTGATCTCAACAGCCAGCTTTTGGTTTTGTTTGTTTGCTCGTATCTTAAAATAAACTACAATACAAAGAAAGACTAAAACCAAAGAAACAAATCTAAAGGAATGCCTAATGCTAAATAGCATCATATATATATATAACATATATATATGCAGTTACTTTTCCATTTGATTCATATATCAGAGCTTTCAAAATACTTGAGATTCTCCAAGTCAAACGTTTAATTGTCTGTTAGCCAAAATTAGTAATGCATGTTTTCTTAAGCCTCAGAAACCCAAATATTACTTTATCATGCCTTGCCAATTCAGTTCTAACCCCCTGTATGTCGTTATACAGATCTGTTTGATTTTGGACCAAATTTATGGCACTCTTTTTTGCCCTGCAGACTTAGGCCAGGTACGTTAAACATAGCTAAGAGTGCTGCGTGCATTCTGCAAAGTGCTTTAGCATAGATCTTGATAAAGCATGTCCAGCTAGCTCACCTCCACATCAGCTAACCGCCTGAGCTTTCCTCCAGCTTCTTAGGTGCATTTCCTGTGCTGAGTTTTGTACTACTACAGCTCCAATAAAATAGATCCAATAAGTCAAAGCAGTGAAAATGCTTCAAGTTTATACGTCCAGAAAGGGCTGGATGTCATTCAGAATTTGTATTACTTGTTCTGTGGCAGTAAAACACAAAAATAGACCCTGAATTCCACTGTGGGTGCCGTGTAAGAGACGAGTCCTTGTTTCCATAGGGTGCCTCAGTCCTTGCTCACCACCAGCAGGATTGCTGCATGGCACGAGAAACCAATTTGTGCAAATGTCAACATGGGAATAAACTGCAAGCAAGGGGGTGGCACACATGCCATCGAGGACTGCAGTATCTTCCTCAGCAGTGAGGAGAAGGGGAGCCGCAGCCTGGCCGACTCTCAGACTTTACACCGGGTTGGACTAATCATCAGACAACCTTTTCACGCTGGAAGGACATGTTCCCATCCTTCACAAATGGAGCTATAAGGAAGACCTAAATAGCTACAAAGACAAAAGTGAGGTGCCCTTCTTTCCCTGAAGTCATACTCTAGGGGAAAACGGGCTGGTTTCCAACTAATTACCACATCTGTAAGAGAAGCAGTCACCTTTCAGAAGACCAATCTAGAGCAGACAACAAGGATGAGGGATTCACCTGGGATGTGACATAAGACTGCAATGCTGTATGGAAACAAGCACATTGGCATGGAGTGATGCTCTGAAAGATTGTCTTTGTGAATGTCTTCTATCATATTGATGGAAGTTGGGAAGGATGTGAGGGGGGAGAGAGAGAAAGAAAACCATATTAATCTTAGTAGTGGTAAAGAATGATTCTGTAGGAAACTTGCAGTTCACCTTTCGCATGAGATCTGCTGGCATTCCTCTGAAGAAAACAAGTGGGGAGGTTTCCACAGAACACACAGGAGTGTGAAGTTGCAGAATGTTTTTCATGTAATCTGCTTTCCTTGTGGGAGCCCTCAAGTAATTGCAGCACCACAAATTCGTACTGTTATTTCCCCCCACGCTGCCCTACACAGTCACCCCCTTGAGCTGTCTGTACCTTCGTGTGTTCCAGATGTGATCATGTACTTCAACCTAGAATATGTTTCATTTGACCAGAGTATAGATAGAGATGTATATGATACTGGACATATACTCAAGGGTGTGATATTAGAGGCTTATCAGTGGGCAGAGTCTCTGACCCCTGCTGCTGAAAAAAGACACTGTGGTGGAAGGAAGAGACACCACATTTTTAACAAAGTGTGAGCCTGGAAATATCTGCAGACAGCAGTAGTATTAAAGACATGAGAGGTTGTGCAGTAAAATTGAATGAGACAGAGAGAGAAAAGCAAACCAGAAGGGACTCGGGAGTTTGCAAAATGAAAGAAAGTTTCGTATCCTGAAATATAAGATTACTCTAATGAGGAGTTTCATTGAACTTATGAACTAAACATAACACAGGCCTTTACATAAGACTAATGATTCCACAGACCTCCCACCTTCTGATCTATCTTCTTAGCCTCCTCATGTGTGATACCTCCCTAAACTTCATTTTGCAGTTGTATCACAACAAGACTGTTTAATTCCTGGAGTGATGTTAGCAGAAAATGGTCTCCAGTCACCAGTATCCAGAAAATGACTGAGCAGGTCCTATGTCTAAGAAAATTATACTTCCTTTGCATTTCCCAGTTTTTTAATTATTAGTATTTTTAATAACAGGCAGGCATTTGAACACTCAGGCTACTGACAGCTTTGGATATATTTTGTCAACAGAAATAAAAGCTCTATCAAATACTGCAATGGCAGATATTCAGAAGATGAACTGAAGATCATGACCGTGATCAAAAAAGGCACTAAAGTTGCAAAGATACATAAACCACAAATAACGGGGAGGGGGGGGGCAGGGAAGCAGTATTTGAAAACACGGTCTTTTAACTGGTACGCATGTTCATGAGAAGGATTTCAGCTGTAGCTACATTAATTGAGCTGTCATGAGAGGGAGAATCTTAGGGCGAAAACCCAGCTTGGGGGACTAACGCATAAATGAAAAGTTACTCTGGAAATAAACTGCTTTGTTCTGCAAAAATGTTACTACGGACTGCGATCAGGGTAAGACTTCCAGCTAGAACAGATTCCCTTTGATTCAAAGAGTTACATGACAGGGGTGCATCTTCTGTTTTTTTCCTCCTTGAGATATCCGTGGAAATTCACATGTTCCTGGCTTAAGAGTATTTTCTAAATGTGAGTGTTCATTCTTTAAACATAGACATAGAAGTGAGAAAAAAACCTACCAGAAACTGATCATTTTCGAAACTTGTTCTTTACCTATCATCCAAATTTTGAAAGGTAACTGCCTGGGCATTATTTGGCTACTGTAATTTTTACAGCATAAACATGGAACTACCATTAAAATGGAAACTTCTGTTTCCACATTAACTACTAAATGCTTACCGACCGCTGCGTATGGTACAAATTAATGAAGTGCCTGGTCTGGGCACAGGGGAGATCCAGTGGCAGAAAAGCAGGATGAGAGGAGCGGTTTTTTTGGAGAATGACCTGTTGAGCCATAAGGAGAACAGCAGCAAGAGCAGTCTGGGCTGAGGCACTGTCAGAGACCTGGGACAGCTTTGGATGAAAGCAGCAGTGTGCCTTGGAGGAAGATGTATCAGCAGAGCTGCGCACCATGCCTGATTAGAGAATAGATGCTTTTGAACCATTCTGACTCCCAGATCCTCCATGGGAGTGCCCTCCTCCTATACCGCCCCACTCAGTAGAAGACAAAAAAAAAAAAAAAGTTGTTTTCTGTAGCAAGTGGATCAGTATCTCTGCCCACGGATCAGCTGGTCTGAGAGGTGTACATCAGTTTGTCCATCAACCATGTTAGGTGCTAAGCAATGCTTTAAGATGCAATTCTAATCCGAAAGCTTCAGTGTTGATTGCCTCCAGCTTTAGGACAGCTTTCCTCTGCCTAGTCAACCACTGACAGACAGTCCAGTCTCCGAGGCAATTCTGAGCCAGTTACGCTACTACCATCCATCCCATTTGCTATCTGAAGACAACCCTTGCTTTCACCTCTGCAAGCCAGTATCTGTTACGCCATTGCTGCCAGCCCTGCAGTTTAACTATTACATTTGTTAATGCACAAGTTAAAGTCAAATACAGTAAACACTAAAGTTTTTAAGAGTTTTTAATGCTAAAGCCCCACAGAGGCTAGCTGGAAGCTTTTTCATAAGCCTGCCCAGAACACTGTTGACAGACCAAAGCATGTCTGCAAGCTATCACGAGGTAGATCTGCTTTGCCCATTAGGGAAGGATAAAGAAAAGGGAAGGATAAAGAAAAGGGAAGAAGGATAAAGAAAAGGGAAGGATAAGGAAAAGAGGGTGCCACACTAACTTGGTGTTAGTGTGGCACCAAGCTTAACCTTTATGTCAGCTTGCATCTGCCCACAATGTACTCTGTAGAGGTCCTCTCTCTTACATCAGTAGTTCAAACTCATTGCACACATCTAAGCACCCCTTCACTTTCTCATCTGCCTCTACTGCATGAGATCTCAACAGCCATCTTCCCATGTCAGGGACTAATATTGTCATTCTTCCTCGGTGCCAGGATCCCCCTTTGTCCCTTCTGACAGGGTAAGTACGCCCATGCCCTTTCCCTTTCCCTCCCACGCTCCCTGCCCTCCCCACACCCCCTACGCTGTGTCCTTCCACACCGCACTGAAGGCAGGTTCCCACAGCTCCCTCCCCGAGGGCTTTCTTTGTTCCCCCACTTGCGATTTCTGTTTTCCTTACTCCATCGTCTCACAAACCTCCTTTCTTCTACCCACCAACCCCATAGTACTCCATTTCCCTCTCCCTTTTTCTCCTTTTCCTTTGATTCGTTTCAAAAGAAATGCATTTTTTTATTATTGATAAAAATATTTTCTGATATTTTCAAATTAATTTGATGTAGCGTTAAAAATTTTTCATGTCACACACAAACACATCCTCAAGGAGTGTGTAAAACCTCACAGGGACAAACAACGAAAGACTCAGAATTATTAATTTATAAACTGAACAAATTAGGAACAGATCAATTACATATGAAAAGTATAAAACTGACTTCTTCAAAGGGAAATAAAAGTGCTATTCCCTACAGGAAAAGAAAATAATAAAATTTCAATTGCAGTAACTAAAGTTAATGCCTAGAAGTAGCAATTTTCTATGCCCATCGTGTTCATGGACCCGTCATATGAATTCAAACAGGACATTATATCTTTCTGTTTCAGCTTATTTTGTTAAATCAGCTAAAATTCATTTGAAGCACAAGGTCAAGCTTTTGTCAGACAGCAAGCCTATGAAAAGGGAAATGTTTTGTAATCTACCATGAGACTTTTCAGTGTCTCAACATTGCTAAAATGTTATTTACTGATCGTTACAGAGGCAGCACTGTTGAGTAAAGTTCTTACCGTGTTTTGGCAGGCTAAGCTATTTTCTCCGAGCTCCCCTTACTGTCTGCAGAGAGAGACCGGCATCAACGGATTACAGTTCATCTATCCTCTGTTGCATAAAATGTCTTTTGCAAATGCCGCCCTCTCACCACTCACTATAAAGGCAGCCTAAGGCAACCAGCAGCACTTGAATACATATACACCCCCCTCTTGGAGTTTGTTAATATTAAGGAAGAACTATTAACATTAGGGAAGATGAACACTTGTCTTTGGATCTATTTGAAAACTCATAAAAAAATTAGTATTAGAGTACTTACAAAACACAGAGACACAAGGCTCCTTCCACGCTTTCACTCTCTCGTATTAAATAGCTACCATTCTTTCTGTTCTTGCTCAGCAGTTCTTCACAGGTTTTTTTTGTTATCTTTCCATGGAAAAATGGGAACTCCATCGGCAAAAGGAAATAAGGTCTCTCACCTTTCAAACTAATTCCAGAGAAAGTCAGAAGCCTGGCATTAAAAGAAGACCTTACTGCAAATGCAGCTGTCTGCAGACAACTGAAATTGGAGGTGCTAAGTACACACGAGTGTTCATCTGTGCTGTTATCACTGACCCGCTGTAGTGAAGTCGGCTGTCAGCCCGTGCTGACTGCTCATGAATGCAGTGAGGGCAGGAAAAGGGAGATGGTTTGTCTACACTGGTCACACCTACATCAAAAAGGAAGAGTCTTTTGTCACATTATATCAGCAGACATTTGAGTTGTGTATCACACTTCTAAGTTATGTATTAGTGAAGTTGACACCTAAGTATAATTATTTAAGTTATTTTTTATGTTTAAAATTGCTGAAAGCCCTGCAAATAGGGTTCTTGCTCATAGTTTTGAAAAATGCTGCTTAGTTTGATTCCTTTCCTTGCCAGACTTTCCTTCTAACACTGTTTTTGGGTTTTGTTGTGGGTGTTTTTTTGGTTTTTTGGTTTTTGGGTTTTGGTTTTTTTTTTTTGAGTTTACTTGACTTTTCATGTTTTGGTGAAAGTTGGTCAGCAATATTTGAAAATGAGATTTTTCAAAACAGAGCATTCTCCTTCCCACCCCCGCCCCCCCCATATTTTTAAAGTAAAGCTATTTTATCAAGAAATTCTGCTTTCTCTGTGCCATGATTTAGGAAACACGGCAGAAAGGAGAAGGGGGCCAGACAGTGCCTTTTGCCATCACTGGGAAGCTGCTGTCAATTCAACAAGGACAGGATACAGCCACGTGTAGAACTGCTGCTCCCCGATGGAGGAGATTCCACGGGAGAGGCTCTCCCAGGCAATTTGTATTTTCCCTGCTGGAAGCCAAGGGCCAGAGGAGGAGCACAGAGACCCGGAGAAGCAGAAGATAAGACCCAGGCTGAGCAGTGTTTGTGAGGGAGAGCAAGTTGAGGGAGGACCTAAAGATGTGGAGGAGCAGTGATTCAGATGGGGAGAATGGCAGGAGAGACAGAGTCCTCAAAGGAGGGGAGAAGGATCTGGGACCCCTGCAATACCGCCTACTCTCAAGGTCAAAATGGAGTCCAGATACACGAGTGTTGGCACTGACAAGGGTCTTCCTGATTTCAAAACAGGCTGTTTGAAGGTTCACCTCCCAGCTCTGACACGTAGGGCCAATTCTTTCTGAACTGTGAAGTTCTCATGATGTGCCATGATTTCCCAGTTGCCAAGCCATGCCTGTGACCCCCTTGCACCAAGGCAATGATCCCCTGCAATTTCAGTTCAAGATGGCAATGTCCGGCACCCTACTGCCACTTACCCCACTAGTACCCGTGACACTGAACTTGTGTGGTGCAATTCCAGGATCCACCTTGCTGATGATCCACACAGAAGACAAGGGAATACCAAAAGATGACATTTGGATATTTCCCCTGTTGTGGTTTAGCCCCAGCCAGCAGCTGAGTGCCGTGTGGCCACTTGCTCACTCCTCATCCCCTGGCAGGATGGGGAGGAGAATCGGAAGAAGAAGGTAAAACCTGTGGGTTGGAATAAGGACAGTTTACTGGGACAGCAAAAAGGAAAATAACAACAACAATACTTACAAAAGACTATACAGAGTGGGTGATGACAATGCAATTTGCTCACCGCCCCAAAACCCAATTCCCAACCCATCCCAAAGCAGCGATCCTTCCTCCTCGCCAGCTCCCCCCTTATATACTGAGCATGATGTCATATGGTATAGAATACCTCTTTGGCTAGTTTGGGTCAGCTGTTCCCCCTCCAGCTTCTTGTGAAAATTAACTCTATCCCAGCTGAAAACCAGGACACCTTCTTCTTTTTCACAAATCCTCCCCCATTTCACAAACCTCCAAGAAACTTGTGATGGCAAGCATTCCACAGTTAGGATATGCCACAGTTACAGCATGCTGCTGGCAAAATCTGATTTCTCCTCCCTTAGTGCAAAGTGTGGTAAAAGATCAGGTGTGATGGTGGGGATGGTCAAAAATATGAGTTAACTATTTTTCTGTGTGTTGTCCACCTCACTAAAGCCATAGATTGGGCTATATTACAGCAATAAGTCAGGACTGTATAGGGAAGGAGGAGATTATCTGTAGGGACTCATTGTTCCAAATTAATAGCTGAATTTGAGGAAAGAAAATGAGTGTTTGTGATGTTCTGATCAGCCTCAATCATGAAGTCATGGAAAGCTCCAGAAAAGACTTGGCAATTCTCTGTTCATGCAGAGTTTTAAACAGAGTTCATCAAAATAAGCTGTAGAACTACACAAGGGTTTTAATAGAGAAACAAAGTGTGAGATACAGTGACCACTGGCATCTTGACCACAGAGTGGGGAAAACATCCTGTGGAAAAAAACGAGGCTAATACTGACTGAACACTAGCCATCTATGTTGCACTTGCAGCTGTTACTTTCATGTTTCTTACTCTGACAACTTTATACACACAAAAATCTTATATTAACATTAGTGTGTCTAACTGCAAGTTAATCATGCGTGACACTAAGAATGTTTCCAGACAGCATCTTAGTTAGTCCAGGAATAAACCAAAAAGCTTTGTGTCAAAGAAATTTAGGAAGTTAGAAAAAAGATTCTCCTAAGAGAGAAACCTAGACATGGTAAGTCCAAGGTGAAGCTAAAGCTGAGTTCTGTACTGCAGTGACCATCACTTACCAATAAAACAAGTCCCCATTACCAAGGGAATAGCGGAAATGTGGGGGAAATACCCTTCCTTGCCTTGCAAGCCTCCTCAAGACCATGTCACAAAGGTTCTTAGTGATATCAGACACACCTGTATTTTCCTATGGATTAAAACTCTTTGAGGCTTTTGTCTACACATCTTATAAATAAAATAGTTTCATGAGGTATTGCAGGGTGAACGGCTCTTCCAGAAGCCCCGTTCTGGCAAGCGAAGGCTGCAGCTGCTCAGCGCTGCCCTGCTTCAGGCGGGTTCTCTCTCCTCTGCATTGAAAAGAAAGCAGATAGGGAACAACTGCAAATTCCTCTTTCAGGAAGGTAATGACAACATGTTCTTCACGATTTTCCCTAAAGACCTTATTAGCTAGGCACAGAAACAGAAGACAGCAATTTCAGTAGATCTTGCAGATCTGAGTCTAGAAGCTACTCACCAGAAATGGCAGCCATACGTTATCTACTGACCGCTTAGTAGAGTTCTTCTCTGACGACAAAAAAACCAAAAAAACAACCCATGAAGAGAAAGCGCTTTAGGAGAAATGGGGGCTGGGGGTTCCTTTCAGCAGCAGTCACCTTCCACAGCCTGGACCACCTTCCTCCTCAGGCAACATCAGGAGCAGCAAGTTCACTCTTGCCCAGACTTTTCCTTTTCTTGCCAATGGCAGG